AAGAGAAACTGACAGTTCCACTATAACAGTAGGAGACTTCAACACACCACTCTCGGTAAAGGACAAAACATCTAGAAAGAAACTCAACAAAGATACAGAAGATCTAAAGGCCACAGTCAGCCAACTTGAACTCATAAACATTTTTAGAACACTCCACCCAACAGCTGCAAAGTATGCATTCTTTTCCAACACACACAGAACATTCTCCAGAATAGACCACATCTTATGCCACAAAGCAACCCTCAACAAAATCTAAAAAACTGAGATAATACAAAGGATCTTCGCTGATTACAACGTCATCAATGAAGAAATCAACAAGAAGAGCAAGGAAAAAAAACAATTACATGGAAACTAAATAACACCCTGCTTAAAAACCACTGAGTAATAGAAGAAATCAAAGATGGCATCAGAAAATTCCTAGAATCAAACAAGTACGAAAACACATCATAGCAAAACCTTCGGGACACAACAAATGCAGTCCTCAGAGGTCAATTTATAGCAATAGATAGATGCAAACATCAAAAAAGACGAAAGGGAGAAAATCAAAACATTAGCGCTACAACTTGAACAAACAGAAAGGGAACAGTAAAAGAAGCCTACAGCCACCAGAAGAAAGGAAATAATTAAGATAAGAGCAGAAATAAATGAAATAGAGAATAGAAAAACAATAGAAAGAATCAACAAAACCAGAAGTTGGTTCTCTGAAAGGATTAACAAAATCAACAAACCACCAGCCAAACTGACAAAAGAAAAACAGGAGAGGATGCAAATAACCCAAATAAGAAATGAAAAGGGGGACATTACAACAGACCCAACTGAAATAAAAAGGATCATAACAGAGTATTATGAAAATCTATACTCCAACAAATTTGAAAATCTAGAGGAAATGGACAAATTTCTAGAAACACACTACCTACCCAAACTATCACAAACTGATGTTGAAAATCTGAACAGACCCATAACGAGGGAAAAGACTGAAAAGGTAATTAAAAAAACTCCCAACAACAAAAAGTCCTGGCCCAGATGGCTTTACTGGGGAATTCTACCAAACATTCAGAGAAGAGTTTACAGCAGTACTACTCAAACTATTTCAGAACATAGAAGAGGAAAGGATACTTCTAAACTCATTCTATGAAGCCAGCATAACCCTGATACCAAAACCAGGCAAAGACACCACAAAAAAAGAAAATTACACACCAATATCTCTCATGAATATAGATGCAAAAAATCTCAACAAAATTCTAGCCAATAGAATTCAACATCATATCAAAAAAATAATACACCACAACCAAGTAGGATTCATACCAGGTATGAAAGGATGATTCAATCTTAGAAAATCAATCAATGTAATACACCACATAAATAAAATAAAAGAATCACATGCTCATCTCAATCAATGCAGAAAAGGCATTCAACAAAGTCCAACACCCATTCCTGATAAAAACTCTCAATAAAATCGGTATAAAAGGGAAATGCCTCAACATAATAAAGGGTGTCTATCCAAAACCAACAGCCAACATCATTCTTAATGGAGAGAGGCTGAAAACATTCCCCTTGAGAACAAGAACAAGACAAGGATGTCCTGTATCACCACTCCTAATTAACATTGTGCTGGAAGTCCTAGCTAGGGCAATAAAGCAAGAAAAAGAAATAAAGGGCATCTGAATTGGTAATGAAGAAGTAAAACTGTCCCTGTTTGCAGATGATATAATACTATATATAGAAAACCCAAAAGACTCCATGAGAAAACTACTGGAACTAACAGAAAGATTCGGCAGAGTAGCAGGATACAAGATAAACACACAAAAATCCATTGTATTCCTATACACCAATAAAGAGAATGACAAAAAGGAAATCAGGAAAACAATACCACTTATAATAGCCCCTAAAAAACTAAAATACTTTGGAATAAATCTAACCAGGGATGTAAAAGACCTATACAAAGAAAACTACAAAACACTACTGCAAGAAACCAAAAGAGATCTACATCAATGGAAAAATATACCATGCTCATGGATAGGTAGACTCAACAAGGTGGAAATGACAATTCTACCCAAAGCAATCTACAAATACAATGCAATCCCGATCCATATACCAACAACATTCTTTAAAGAGATAGAAGAAACGATCATTAACTTTATATGGAAAGAGAAGAGGCCCTGGATAAGTAAGGCATTATTGAAGAAGAAGAATAAAGTAGGAGGACTCACACTACCTGACCTCAGAACATACTATACAGCTATGGTAGTCAAAACAGTCTGGTACTGGTACAACGACAGATACATCTACCAATGGAACAGAGTTGAGAACCCAGATGTAAATCCATCCACCTATGGTCACCTGATCTTTGACAAGGGCCCAAAGTCCATGACATGGGGAAAAGACAGTCTTTTTAACAAACAGTGCTGGCAAAACTGGATGTCCATCTGCAAAAAAATGAAACAGGACCCATACCTCACACTATACACGAAAAATAATTCAAAATGGATCAAAGACCTAAATATAAAACCAAAAACTATAAAGATCATAGAAGAAAAAATAGGATCAGTGCTAGAGACCCTAATACATGGCATTAACAGGATGCCATAACTAACAATATACAAACTCCAGAGGATGAGCTAGATAACTGGGATTTTCTAAAAATTAAACACTTACGCTCATCAAAAGACTTCACCGAAAGAATAAAAAGACAACTTACAGACAGGGAAAAAAATTTTGGCTATTACAAATCCAACAGAGGTCTAATCTCTAAAATGTACAGGAAAATCCAACAACTCTACAACAAAAAGACAAATAATCTAATTAAAAAATGGGCAAAGAAAATGAACAGCCACCGCACCAGAAAAGACATTCAAGCAGCTAACAGACACATGAGGAAACACTATCGATTATTAGCCATTAGAGAATTGCAGATCAAAACCACAATGAGATACCATCTTACCCCAGCATTACTGGCAT